AGTGTTACAGATTAAGATAGTGTAGACTGAAATTATTAATCAATAACATGTTCATGACTGCTGACAATGTTTGCCACAGCAAAAGACAATGCTCCTCAGGTTGAGATACTCTAATTTAATAAATGTAGCTGCTTATAAATTAAGGGTAGACTGACCGTGGAAATTTATATTTTAAGGAAGTAGCACAGGTATTACTTTCCCTTTATTTAAAATTCTCCTAAATTCAAACAGAGCTGACAGATGAGGTGAAAGATTGCAAACATTTGTACCTAACACCAGCTAACCTCTGGGTTAGTGAAACAAACAGTTGGAAAGTTTGTGAGATAAACAGTCCTTCAGCGCATGATTTATGGAGAACTGCACTCTGATGCAAATGTTTTTATTGAAAGAAATTTATAACAAAAGCTGTTTATAACAGCGCTGCTGCAATTTATGCTGAGACATTCTTGTTTCTTTTTAATATTCTGAGGTACTGGGTATGAGACACGGAAGCCCTCATTTCTTACGGTGGCAATCTACGTACACGCGCATGGATGGGGAATGTTTCCTCTCCAGCCTAGACCTTCTTACCGCTTGCCAGCAGTGTGCGCAAAGGCTCGGCTGGTGGGAACTGCCTTCCCCCCGCTGCTGGGGCAGGCTGTCCCGTACCTGCCGCGCGTCTGCCGCCGAGCGAGAGCCTGGAGCCGGGGTGGACAAGCTGCTCCACGCTGCCGGCTTTGTCGCAAGTGTCCCGGCAGGTGCTCACGCCGTAACTGAGGCAGCTCGAAGCTGCTCTCGCTGCCCTGATGGAATGGGGTCACCCGACAGTTGGGTGGGTCCTCATGTGGGTAAATGATATCTTGCTTGACATTCTAAGCGTTTCGACGTGTCTGTTGGGGAGAAATGATGCAACGTGATGATGGCTCTACATCGAGTAAAGCAGGGTGTTTATCTGCTTTGCGTTTGCTTCCAAAATTTTCACCTTCTCCTTCACTTGCCTCATTGTTCTGCAGAAACTTCACAATATACAAACATTGTAGTATTGTGGAGACAGGAATTAATTGTCAGAAGCAAGTCCAGAAAACAAAAATTCAGAGCATGAGTAATAAAAGTTCTGAGATACGTGGCAGATTAGTACAGAAATCTTAATTGTAAGGTGTCTTGCCTTTTTTTTTTACTTCAGTTAGCCTCTTACAGTAACTGTAATATCATTTGTATGTGCTAATTCACTTGTAAATGTCACTCTAGAAGATACCCAAGAATATGAATGTGAATCCACTCTCAAAAACTGTGATGTCTCGTTTTCTTTCCTCTCGAAGGCTTTATTCATGCTCTAATTCTGTTGCTAAATCAGTCAGCGGTGGCTGTTGTTTTTTCCTGTAGAAGTTATTTTTTTCTTTAAATTGTTTTCACATAACAAATCAAAACTCTTTGATGAGCACAGATGAGTTTAAGACATGCTTTTCAGATGTGCAGTATATTCGGTTATTAATTTTTTTCTACAAATGATGCTGCTAATCTTCTGTGCTCTCAAATGGAGTGCCTTGTTATAATCTTCAAATTTTATGGTGCCCATTAGTAAAAATGTGAAGTAAGAAAATTGCCAATCAAAATTCCCTGTTTATTCAAGTGTAAATTGATACTTAGAAAATATACGTTGGTTTACAGCCAGGATTCTGAAATTACAGCATTGTCACTTAGGGACATACTGTGGTAATAAGCGGGCAGTAAGCTGATGCACTTCCAGTGGAAGTTTCTTTCTTCCGTCTCCTCTCGTTTCATTGAAAGTTTTTGGTCTACTAGATGAAACAGAAAGGTTAAAAGTTACCATCTCCCTTGAATGCACAATGGAGAAAGACAGAGAGGGAGTGCGTTCTGTTGCAACCCCTTCATTGTCAGTAATGTGTGTGTAGTTTTCATCAACTTCAAAAGAAGCTTAATTAATTTAATTATTATTATTAAATATTATTATCTATTTAATTGCTAATCTCTATGTGTGTGTATAACAAATCCTTTCTTAGTTTATGAATCAATGTAGTAATTTTGAATACTTTGTGTTGATTAACTTCTCATTTTTGTGTAATTAACATGAGCATTTATCTTCCTGTCTTTTTATATGCTTGTATACAGGTCGACAAGGAAACTTAACTTGCCTTATTGGCAAAGCAACGGCACTTCCTAATAGAACCAAACTAGTGTATTAAACTAAGCTTACTCTTTCTTTCTTTTTTTTTTTCTTGCAGAGCTGGAGTGGACCAGAGAAATTACTTGCTTTGGATGAACTCATTGATAGTTGTGAACCAACACAAGTAAAACACATGATGCAAGTGATAGAGCCCCAGTTTCAAAGAGACTTCATTTCCTTGCTCCCAAAAGAGGTGAGAAATCCAGGTTAATGCTGGACTGTGCAGTGCATCAGCTGGCAGCTTTTAAACACTTCCACGCTAATGATGGCATTCGGTTTTGCCAACGTAGTGATGTAAACTGATGTTAGAGGTCCGCAGTTTGGTACACTGCCATAACATGGCTACTGTAGTTTCAGATTAACATACCTTTATCTCTTTAGGTACTTGGAAATACAGATGACTCCTTTAAACAAAATCTCAGTACCTTAAAAAACATCTCGGGATCCTGACTGGTCCGATGGGGCGGGGGG